TCAGAAGTGGAAGGTAAGTTGGATGGAGTACAGCATTGAGTATGGATGAAATGAGCAGGAAGGTTTTACAGTGAAGTTTGGAAAGAGAAAAAGTGCTAATGAAGCCATTCAACAATAGAGCCAGCCCTCACTGTGGAGAGGCCAGGAGGGAAGCAGCAGGAAGAAGACATAAAACTGATACTGATTTTTTTACAAGTTGATATTCATTTTCCCCCTAATGCATGACTCCAGGAACTGGTGCTTTTAAAAAAAAAACATGTAAAACTGTGAACACTGGCACCACTGATCTTCCGGTAATGCTGACAAAATATCCAGGATCTAGAACTACTGAGCCCAGCAATTGTGATTGTACAGAACAAATCTTTATATCATACAAATTACAGAACAAATCTTTATATCATACATTTATCTTCTTCTAAGTGTTGCATTTGTATATCAATTCAGATAGCTCCATTCTATGCATATTTATCCTGCAGGATCTATACCCTTTTCAGTTTTTGCATGGTGCATGATGCAGAGAAGACGGCAAAATCAAAAACTCCTTGAGGGAAAAAATACTGCTGCATTCTGCCTCCTGTCATCTAATTTGTTCAGAAATCAGCTATTCCCACAGAACAAGTCGCCTCTGACTTGTGGTCTAAATGCAGCGGTTGCTTGAGTGTTAGTAAATACCATATTACACATACCTAGGAGAGCCAGATCCCCAGCTGCCAAGTTGCAGCTGCTCAGTATCAGTACTCGAATCGCGGTTGCAAGCTTTAGTGCTTCCAAAAGCAGCTTTAGGTTTCCACCAACGCACTTGTTCCAAGAAAGGTCTAATATCTCCAGATCAGGAAGGTGAAGGGCAGCTTCAGCTGAAAAGATTAGCACCAGCAACTTCTGTTTACTAGAAGAAGACATCCATATCTTAATAGATACCCCCTGTCTAGTCACCTGTAAATAGGCTTGTAGTGCATTGCCTACTTGTGCTTAGAAAGGTTTATTGGATCTTAGTAAAAGTCAGAAATGTTTCAAATACTTTTTAAAGAATGAAACATCCTGTAAATCTAGAACCAGACTTTAAGACAGACAAATCTTTTTCCTACTTATTAAAAAATATTAGGAATACTGGCCTTGTCTCTCCCCAAATGAAATCAATCTAATTTAAAGGAGAAAATCTAACTATTTTAATCCAATGTAAACGCAATTCTTTCTTCAAACCTATTCCTGCAAGGTGAAGTCCACTGTGTTTCCTGACCAGGCTGATTTTCGAGAGATCAGTCTCTCACTATTATCTAATTAGAATTTGCATTTCTGTAGCATATATCCTGCCAAGACATCAAATCAGTTGCAGCCTGATTGTGCCTTCTCTGAAGCCAATGAACTTTTGTTACTGATTTTATTAGGACCAGCATTAATAAACAATTGTTAATATATAAGAATTAGCATACCCCTTTGGATGCAGTTTTTGCATTCCCTTGCAAAGGGATTCAGAACAACATCTCATCCACAATAGTCTGCAGTGGCTAGATATGAGACTGGTTTTAAGCATTCTTTGTTAGCTTCAGGGATACTTTTGTGTCTCCCCATGGTGTTTCAATGTAGTTCTTTTTGTTCCTAACACTATAATCCCTGTTTTAACCCTATCAGTGGCTACCTATTGTGCCTAATGGGGCCAAAGAGTATCTTTTGGTGTTAGCAGAGTGAAATGAGAAAATCTCAGTCAAACATTGAAGACTCATAACTTTTGGTCTCTATTCTAGACACATACTAAGATCCCTAGAGCATTAGCTTGGCAAATATTAACAATAAGTTTTAAGTAAATAATTATTACACTAATTACTATAATTCCAGGATAATATGAGATCCTGGACTGTAGCTTTCTCTTCTAAAATTAGGGAGTAAATTATAGGTATTTAGAAAAGGAAGTATTAGCAAGCCTAGATTAAATCTGGGACCAGACACAGTGGCCTAGGAGGCTCTTTCCAGTCCTATGTTCCTAAGCATGATGTGGGAAGCTGCAGTTACAATGTGTGTCAGTCCCAACTTACAGCACCTTTTTGTGTTTCACTTCAAGATTTCCCCATGCCATCTGGCCAAATTGGTTTTGTGACGTGAATGGACAGAGACATGGTCTGACTAACACATGTGCTGTTGTTTATGATTTACACCAAAATCTGACCACAGATCTTCAGAAGCCCATCAAAGGATAGTGAAAACTTCTTGACCTTTCCTGTCCTGCTACATAAAAATGTATGCTAATAATGTAGTCAAGAAAAAAGAATTCCTACCTAGTGATGCAAAGGAAGCTTTCTGTAAAGAGCAATTGCTGATGATCACAGATTTCAACTTGGGTAAAAATCTGAGTCTGCTGAGCAGGTGATCAGAAGACATGCCAATATTTTTATTAGATGATAAATTCAGCTCTTGAAGACTTGAGAGTAAAGGTATCACTTGGGCTTAAAAAATAAGGAAATCTTTATTAGACCATCACTGTGTTGCCTATACTCCATAGTTGAATTTTTATTTGCTGCAATTTCTTTTTCATACCCAAAACACGGAGTCAGATTCACACACCCATGCTCATGCTGGTAGTACTTTCCTCCATAAATAGTCCCATGGTTTTCAATGAGAATATTTATGGAATAAAGAGTTAATTCCACCTCCCATTTTGGTAATCTCAACTGCTACACACGTCCTATAACAAAGTGCAATTAGTGCTCTTGAGAGGGGTTTGAACAACAAAGTCTTGGAGTCTGAAATCTTGTTTCCCCACAGAACAGAGACAGCATGAACAACTACAGGGCAAGCTTCCCCTCCATCTTCTGCCTCTGCTTCTGCTTTGACTAAATTACTCCTGTGAGTCACAGGGGTGTTCATTTTCCCCTCCTATTCATCTCCTGAAGCCATGAAGAGACTCAAGTCCCTCAGAAACAAGGACTCTTCATGGTCATGAGTGTCCACCCCCTGCTCTCTCCAGGACTACTGATTTTCTGCAGGTTTTCTGAAAATCTATCCACAATGCTTATGCGTCTTTCATTGAGATATATCCCATTAGTGTGCTTGCCTATCATTTATAATGTTATCATCTTATTTAGCTCTGAGATAGAACCATCCACCCTCAAAGCACTTCACAAACATAAGAGAACTACTGGTAAGTGTCTCAAAATGTCTATGAGATAGGTAACACTAACCTTATTTTTCAATTGAGGCTAGCTGAGGTGCTGAACAATGCCAGATGTAAGTCCTCAGTACCTCACAGGATCAGTGCCTTGGTGATTTGCCCAATGTCAAGACTCCCAGCCCAGTGTCTTAACTGAAGTCCATTTTACTATTAGGTTAACTCTCCACTGCACTCCCAAAGCTTCACAGAGAAAAAGCAGACCTGACTACTGAAATCTACTGGAAAGGAATTCAATGAGACTGTCCTCTGTCTCTGAGACAGCTTCAGAAATTATGTACATATGTATTCTCATTGGATTTCCTAAAAAGGTTCTTACTGAGAACTGCCAGGTCTTCCTCTGTGATACAGCACTGGTGAAGATCGAGAACTTCAAGGTCTTTTAGATTGGCCAGATGAGCTGCTGAGTCCTCAAACCCTCTACCAATCTCTTTATTGCATGATAGATCTAATTTTCTTAGCTCCAGCAGGTACTGGAAGGCAGTGTCTAAAACATAAAAGACCACATTCATGGTCACAAAATGTTACGCTAACACAGAAAGCAGATTGTTGCTTTAATGTTTGTTGTCCTAAATTTAATGTTTGCAAAGGGCATTAACATGACAGCCTCAAGACAGCTTCTCCAGGCAAACTTAGCAACATTGCAGAACTTCCTCAATGAATCACCTTAAAGCAAGGAGATCACCCTTCATATCCACTAAATCTTTACTCTCTTTGCTGAGACTGTCATGAAGGGTGCAAAGTAGGGCCAGCTATGGTAATGAGTTTTGTGTTGTGGATAATTAGCCTATTGGGAACTAGACCCAGAAAGCCAGCACATTACATCCAGACAAATTGAACAACCATCTGATGAGTCTTTTAGTCACTGTCCTTGAGCTGAATGTGGACCAGTAGGCTAGTACCAAAAGTCTCTGTGGCCTTTAATTGGTGATCATTGAACAACTCAGTCCTCAAAAAATAGAGAACCATTGATGCCCTCAGAACTGCCACAAAAAGCACTTATCTCCTTGACTTTTCCTTAGAAGACTTTTAGATTCAGATTTGTGGTTGCAAACCTTAAATCATTCTAAATCCAGACTCACCTAAAGACTGGAGGCCATCTTTCCTAACTCCACACATGTGCAAATGTAATTCTTCCAAGCCAGGCACATTTTTCAGTTCCTGGGCAATGCTCTTCAGGTTACAGCCTATTTTTTGGTTAATGGAGAGATCTAACACTTTGAGGTGGTGGATTACATTGAGAATCTGGGCTGGTAGTAAAAACAGAAAAACAGATTTGATTATTTATCAAGTCTACAGAGAAGCTCTTGCACAAAATACCAGTATAAGCAGGAATGCACCAGCTTGTTATGCCTATACCCCAGATCATTCTAACAAAATGGATTAAAAATGTATTGAGACCCTGTGGGCTATTGTTCTATTTAAGAAATACAGTGAAAAGAATTTGTAAGGGACAAGAAAAAACAAAATCACTGAAAAAATTGTGTGATAAGGGTGGAAAAATATACACAGACAGAGTGGAACAAGAAACTGGGAAGGGAGTAGGGAAGAATAAATGCTAATAAAAAGGATGAAGTCTTATGTTCTGTCGGTAGATTACATACTAGAGGGATTCTAGTCTTGAGGAAGGGGAAGACAGGCTTGTTTTCAGTCAGAAAGACTTAAAAATATAGAATCACTTCTAAAGAACAAAGGGGATTACATTGTGGAGGAAGAGAAGTGTTATAACCACTAACTAGATTTGCTGACTCAGTGACCTCCCAACCACTAACAAGAAAAATAGAACTGTGAGGTTCAGAAAACATCCATCTTTACAAGGACCAACAATACTTTACCATGGCCCAACAATGGGAGTAAGCAACTGCATTTTGCAGTTCTCCAACTCCTTTTACTTGAGGTCCCTGTAAAAATGCATTTTAGGCCAAACAAGAATGTTGTGAAACATATCTTTGTCCTCATTTAGAGATGAGTAAAACCAAGACATGCATAGAAGTGGGCCAACACCTACAAACTTGATCCCTGACCATGTAATGAGGTTCACTGGGTTCAGGTTGTGGGTACCTGCTTTGCAAAAAAGCTATGTACTTGAAACTCCCATAGGAGTCTCTGAAGAGTCTCTGGATATCTGAAAATCCAACCACTTTTATTCAAATGACTGAATATGTATTAGTTTATTTAGGTTGAGGCAACCAGATTTAAATATTTGGCTTAAATATCTTGCCCAAGGACACACAGGAAATCACTGGCAGAATGGTTCAAGCCTAGACACCCTTCTTAACCCCATGTTTTCATCATAAAACCATACTATGCCCCATGTTTTGTTTTGAAAAAAATAGGTTATTTGGAAATAAAAATCAGTACTTTTACATGGCAACACTGATCATTTAATAATTTTAAATCAACACTGAACTTCCTATTCTTGGAACAGGCTGAAGTTAAAATCATAGTTACATTTTTGAGAAGTCAATATTTTGGCACAAAAATGTGAGGGACTCACCTAGAGATTCTCCATCTTTTGCTTCTAGATTGCAATCTATCACTTTCAGGATTTTGATTTTGCTTCCTTTCTGGATCTTTTTTGTTAAGAGGGACAGTTTTCCACCTATGTTGCTATTCCAGGACAAATCCAGTTCTTCCAGAAAAGGAATGATTTCAAGTGCTTCTCCTGTAACAAAACACCCACAAGCCTAAGAGAGTTCATTACATGAGTACAGGACAAAAATACAGTTTTCCACTACATGAAGGCAGCCATTTAATTCTCAATTGAATTATGTTCTTTTATATTGTTTGCTTGATTTTTTTAATGAAAGTCAGTACCAGCATTTGTTTTATTTTATGTAAAGACACACATTGCTCAACAGATACAGTATTAACCCAGCTCATGCCTCCTATGCTAACCTTTAACATGTAGCCTGGTCTAAGAAAAGGCAACAACATTTGACTTTCCCTGCTGACCTCTGCCAAATGCCTCGAATTTCTAGTCTACAGGGGAATCAGTAGAAGTGGCAGGCCTATATTTATTGCCCATTATATTTCTGCACCTTTAGAAGCTTGTCAAATTTCCAACTGCCTCAGTTCTGGAGACCATCTCAAATGAGGGTAGCACTGAGATACCAGAAATCCCCATAGCTTTTTCCTAAGCTTTAAAAGTTTAATTTCTGGCAAATGGAACAAACTCAAGCATTACTTAGGCTCAGAATGGCTTTCTTAAATAAAAGAGAGCCTGGAGGGCTCAGGTAATTGTACAGGCAGAAACCATCTTAGATGTATTCAGAGGCCACATCTGCACATGTGCTTTACTATGGAATAGACTAATTAGCTGCAGAGTAACGTCACCGTCTACACATGGGATGGTATTAGGCTGCAGTCAACTAATTAATGCTGCAGTCAGGTAATACTGTTGGGGACAATAATATCTTATACCAAAGTAATTTAATGCAATTAACGGCATATGTAGATGTTGACTGCGGATGTAAATTACACCCAGTCAGCCCAGCCAGCAGTGGGATAGACCCCTGCCTGCCACCCAGCCACATGGCTTTGCACCTTCAGCACCCTCATGCCCCAGTCAGACCCTCTGCTGCGACCCAGAATCTGAGGCTGCTCTCCTGTGGCTAAAATTGCTGCTGTCCTGGATGTACGTGTAGATGCTGTGCTCAGGAGTAGTTTACTCCAGCTCAAACTGCTCTGGCATTTATTGGTTTGCATTAATTGCACATGTAGATGCACTGAGAAAGATCTAACCTGCTCCTTGCCTCTTTGACACTTCTTCGGCAACAGTTTACATTGCGTCAGCATTTCTTTGAAATGCTGCTATTCCACTGCAAAGCTTATACTTCAGGAACAAGCTCTGGGGTATGGGGAGACATCTATGCACATGATAGGAGTGCTAGTTATGAACTGTAATACAAAACGGTTAAAAGGCGAGCTCATTTTCCTTGCAGGGGGGGTAGGGTGGAGGGAACCTTGTAACAGCTTAAACTAGCTTCCCCTTGATATCAGTTGATCTGACAACATGATAAATACAAGTTCAAACTGTTAAAAACTAGATAAAGATTTGTTTGATCTACATTCCTAACATACATGATCATTCAGAATTAAAATTTAATGGGAAAATCCTTCTGTCTTAGTATGTTCTACTAATAGTTTTCCAGGTTTATAACAAAATGAGATTCCTGTTGCTCTGTATTAAATGACTATGCAAGTCCAAGTAAGAGAAAGAGAGGGAGAGAAATCTAAACATATCTCCTCATATTTATCCATCTGTCACATTTACTTTCCGACTCTTGAAAGCTAAAAATACTTTTCCATTGAGACACTGTTGTTCCTCAGCAGCACAGGGTGTTTCTGCATGGTACTGAGAAGAGCATTCCAGACACATTTCCCACCCTAAAGACAAATAAAGGCCAACAGCTACAAAGATAGTTCTCTACCACTTCTCACACAGGTCAGTCAGTGCCACAGTAGGGGGTGGACTGGATTTCGGTATTCTCAGGCCTACACTTTCTTAAATGTGAATACGCCTCCCTGCATTTTTTCACTCTGACATCTTCACAGATATTTGCATGTTCAAGCAGGCATTTATCTAGCACTAGCGGTCACCAAATGTGACCACTGCTTTTGGATAGAGTATCCAGATGTGCCAGCCTCTGCGGGGATAGATCTTCCCCCCTTTCCCCCAGTTGAAAGTGAAGTCCATTCCTTAGTTACAACAATTTCTGCTATAAGAATCTCCCTTGCAGAAAGAAAAAGGCTGGGCCACATTGACAGGAAAGATCATTCATCCAGATGAAAAGCTCATGGGTTATTTGGTATGAGTCAAATTCCCCTGGGTTTGCCCCTCCTTTGTGTGCACACAATGAGTTCACTCAAGGCAGGGAATTCTGTGCTCAGTCAGAGCCTTTACACTCGTAGCAACTCTCAGATGGAGTCCTGCCCTTTGTGAGCTGGATGCTCACAGCCAATCAGAGCAAAACAGTAAGTGCAAAGAGAAACTAGGTCAAACTCCTCACAGAAAATGACAAGTGATCTCTATTGCTCTCATGGAAGTGACAGCCCTTCTGCTGTTAAGGTCTCAGCACGGTGTAACCTCTGCTATGATTTGATCAATTTTCTCCTAGTCCAAGGAGTCCACTAGGAGGGCATTTAAGTCTATTGCTAAAACATGACAGCACTTGGAGTAAATCTTATAGAAACTCCTCAACCCTTCTGCATGTGAGTAACTTCATGTCTGTGAGTAATCCCCTTAAAAACTCATGGGCGAAGAGCAAAGTTACTCGCATACAAGTAGATTTTGTTTGTTTGCAGCTGACTGTTTACATTGTCATGTAGGGCACAGGTTGAGATTTGATTGCTGTAGCATGCTGGAAGAGCACATTTAATGGCTTGCAAGTTATCCTTTGTAACAACCTTGTTGAAGAATACATATACCAGCTATGCCATACCTAAAGAAGCAATATCCTCAGCTGTCATCCTGCAGTTGTTTAGTCGGAGGGATTTTAACTTGCTCACATGATGTAGTTGAAGGGTCAGAGGTTTCAGAGTTCCGCCTATAAAATCATTCCAGGAAAGATTGATCTCTTCCAGCTCAGGTAGGAAAGGTAACAGGCCACCTAAAATATACAACAACCAAACAACCTGGATTTGTGAACATGGGTGGGTCAGTATGTCAATTATTGAACCAATGAGGTAATGTAATGCAGAGCAATTTGCACTTAGGATGAACTCTCTGTAGTTCAGTTTACTTACTGGCAGTACATTGGTATATACCTGTCTCAGGTATATACCAATGTACTGCCAGTAAGTAAACTGTGAGATACTGTGAAGTCAGATTTGTTAATCAATATTTGTAAAATGCTTTGAATGCATTTTATGAATGATGCTGAAGGAAAGCAAAATATCACTATTAAAGAGAGAGGCTGAAGGAGGATAGCTGAACAAATTCATTAGGAATGAGAACTGAAAACTCTGTTCCATTAGCTTTTGGAGTATAGATGAAAAAATGTGTACTTACTCAGCTCCATTAAATCTGTTTCATTTAATGCACAGTTATTTAGGTCCATATTCTTGCTGTTGGGCTTTTTGCCCAGTTTCTTCATGAACTGCTTAACTTTCCATTTACCAGACACTAAGTCTGTTTCAGAAATGTTATGGGAAACTTCATCTGTATAACCAAAAAAAGGAAAAGCAAAAATCCTAGGTAAAGTCATATATGACATTTTGTCTCATGTAACTAGTGCTGTCAGATTTAGATATTGTGAAATGTCCTAAATCTTCCAGATTCATGACAATAGCTATATTTTGATTTCAGGGTTTACTGGTGGAAACCCTGGATCATGTCTATTGTCCATTGTTATCCTGAGTAATGGAAACATGTACACCATATCCTGCATGCAGCTTGATTGAGAGAAAAATCTGCCATAGGGAGTCTTTAAGTTGATCTATGCCAGAGACTTTTGGTATTAACAGCACCAATTCAAACATAGGACATGCTTGTAGAACTCTAACCAAAGTATATAGTGTACCATGGCACCTGTGTAAATCATATGTAGTTGCCTCAAGTCAGCCCAACTTCTGCAGTGCTGGTGTGGACTGCAAGCACAGGCGTAATTCATAGATTCATAGATGTAGGGTCGGAAGGGACCTAA